GTCGGGCTCTGTGCTGACAGCTCAGAGCCTGAAGCTTGCTGAAGTTTCTGTGGCTCCCTCTCTGCCCCTCCCCAGCTCACACTCTGTTTCTCTCTCTCAAAAATAAATAAACATTTAAAAAATTTTTAAAAAGTTAACTTGCTTCAAGCTTATGTACTGCTTGCTTGCTGACCTAAGCCCCTTGATTTGTAGCAGAACCAAACTATTTTCCTTGAGATTTTGCAGACAATTGGCTGGTCTTGAGGAATGAAGGATCAGACTTTCCCCGGAGGTAAGTCCTGACTGCACTTGAAAACAGCTGGCACTGATGGTAACATGTCTGTTCAGCATCATGTCAGTGTACGATGACCCACCTGAGCACCAGCTTCTCCTGCACATGGTGTCCCCCCTCATGTCCTGTACCATCCCCTTTAAAACTCTCTGGCTTCGGGGCACCTGGGTGGCTCAGTCGGTTAGGTGTCCGATTCTTGGTTTCAGCTCAGGTCATGATCTCACAGTTTGTGAATTCTAGCCAAATAAATAAATAAACATTAAAAAAAAAAAATCCTCTCTGGCTTCACATGGACAAGGAAGATGGTGTTTGGGATGTTAGTCCCCCATCTTCCTAGGTTGCCAGCTTTTTTTCTGTTTTTAAATTTTTCTTTTGTTATTGTTTATTTACTTTTGAGAGAGAGAGAGACAGAGCGCGAGCAGAGGAGGGGCAGAGAGAGAGGCAGGCACAGAATCCGAAGCAGGCTCCAGGCTCTGAGCTGTCAGCACAGAACCCAACAGGGGGCTTCAACCCACAAACCGCAAGATCATAACCTGACCCAAAGTCGGATGTTTAACCTAATGAGCCACCCAGGCACCCTGCCAGCTTTCTAAATAGAGCAACTTTTCCTTTCCCACCGTCACTTGTCTTTTGAGTATTGATTTCAGAGCAGCAAGCCTCCAAGCTTGAATTCAGAACTGGTTTTCTGTCTGGTGACATCCAGGTTTCATCAGATTCTTTCTGAGCTCCATGATCCCTGCCTGGAGTGAGTCTTTGTTCCTGTTGGCTGAACCAGCTCCTATCTAAATGGCCTCCATGCCAGGGATGGGACAACCATTCCCTTCCCATACTCAAACATCAGTACTTCAGGCACTTCCTGAGTAGGGAGAGCAAGCAGAGTCAGGCTGGCACAAGTTGCCGGGCCCCACAGGGGCCCAGATCTGCTTCTGGACCTGTCAGAACTTACTGTTGTCCTTCTGTGCAAGCAGGATGGAATTTAGGAATGATGCCAGGGATGGTCTATGTGTTGCTAGTCCAGGTTCTATGTGTTTGGGTCTAAGTTTCTAAAGGAGGCACTTTAGAGTGACCTTAGGTTGCTGAGGGGTATCCCAGACAGTTGGAGTGTGGGTGTTTCCGTCACAGAGTTGGTCCTGGGGAGGCTGGGCATCCTATCCTTTCTAGCAGGCCTTGCTCTTGTCTCAATGACAGCCCTGTTACAACCATGCATTATGACAAAAACCAAGTGCCAGAAAATCTTCAACAAGGAGATCTGCAGCTATAAGGTGGTGGAACAGAATGATCCAGAGAGGACCTGTATTGTCCTGTAATGTAATGTGCTTCCAGTGGGCCTAGGGGTTCCAGCCTGAGAGGGCCCATGTTCTCCCAGGCCAGGCCTTGTTCTTTTTGGCCTCTAACAGTCTATGATTGTGTAACCTTATCTACCCGTAAAAAAGGTTTTGAGAAAACACTTGAATCTGTGTATGCTTTTAGTTCATAAATTATGTATGCATTAGTTTATAAATTACATGTATTATAAAGCATGCAAACATTGCAAGGAGATGGAAAATATGAATAGAAGTTATGTTTTTATAACGTATACTGCAATAGATCACCGTATGTCCCCTGCTCGAGGCACCGCTGCTGCGACTGTCACTTCTAATGTGTCTGCAACGTGCTGCCCTGGTATCCAGCTATCTGGTGAACAATCCAAAAAATACATGTGTCTTCAAGATGAAATCGGATCCCACATTTTCTTGGAGAAACATTTTTCATGTTTATCCTTCCTTCCTCTTCTTCAGAGAGCATGCTCCATACCGAGTCCCTCATATACCTCTGTGCTTGCTTGAGATTAGGACAGTTTTTTGCGTTTTTGTTTTTGTCTTTTTAAGTAAGCTCTAGGCCCAATATGGGGCTTGAACTCATGACCCCAAGATCAAGAGTCCCATACTTTACTAACTGAGCCAGCTAGGCACCCCGAGGTTATGGCAGTTTGGCGCAGGGCAGCCTGGGAGAAGTGCCTCCAGGACCACACACATCCTGATGGGGTATTAAAAGGCCAGGCACTCTGCTCTGTAGATGAAAATGACTTGAGTACAGAGCTGTAGTATCTTTTGCTGCATACAGACCACCCTGAAATTTAGGAACTTAAAACAGTGATACTGTTGACCATCTCTTGCTGTTTCTGTGTTAGAGAACATTTGTTTACTCAACAGGTCTTTACTTAGAGTGCCTGGGCCAGGTAATGCTCTGGGCTTGGGGCTACAGCAATGAACAAGAGAGACAAGGTCCCCGCTGCCCTGGGGCTTAGAGTCCTGTGCCTGTGTGTACGTGACAGATCACAAACAAGCAAACAGTCCTCTGTTGAACAATTTGTGGGCAGTCGGTAAAGAGCTTTATTTTTCCTCTGCCCCTTAACCCTACCTGTTTAAATATGCTATGTGGACTAGTTGAGCAATCTAGGCAGGGCCCTGAAGAGAATTTTGGTCCTAAGGTAATCAAAAAGTGCTTTGGTCACTTGTAGTTACAAAAAAGTATAAATCCAGAGTCTGCATCTGAATTGAGGAGGGGGACAGGAGAGTTAGGGGTCAGGGACAGTCTTGGCTCCTTCTGTCTGTGGCAGTGTTTAGGGTGATTTTCTTCCTTATTGGGGCTTTTGTGGGCTGCTCCAACATGCCTTACTCCTCCTTCTCCAAAGCTCCAATACAGGCTCTGACTGCCTTTTAGCTTCTGCATCTGAACCCACATTTCCTATTGCTTTCTGCTTAGATTGCCTTGCCCCTTGTCACTCTTGGGTGGGACCTACTTTGATGGTCCTTCACCTTGCTGGCAAACATGGGGAGCGGAGAGCTAAGTATTGGGGGCCTCTGTCAAAACTGACCACAGAAAGATTCCTGTATTCATATCTGGTCACAAATTAACAAAAAAGCTCTAATGTGGGTAATGTTACACTGGGCAAATTTTGAGAAGCGGTACAGGGTCGTGAGATGCGCACAGTGGTGTGATGTGGTGCAAAGAAACATACACTTTGGACTCAGATGATACGGTTTGAAATCTGACTCTGACATTTATTTATTTACTAAAATTAAAAAAATGAAGCAAAATATACAGAACACAGAAGTTACCATTTTAACCATTTTTAAGTTTACAGTCGAGTGGAATTACATACACATTGTTGTGCAGCCATCGTTAGCATTCATTCTCCAGAACTTTCCATCACCCCAAACTGAAAGTCTGCACTCATTAAACAGTAAGTCCTCTCCCCCAGCCTGTGGCAACCACCATTTCGTTTTCTGTCTCTGTAAGTTGACTGTTCAACGTATCTTATGTTGGGTGGAATCATACAAGATTTGTCCTTTTGTGTTTTGATTTATTTTTGCATCTGTTTATTAAAACTAAAATCTATCTATGAGGACATTTGATACGAGACATTAACTTAGGATCATCCTTGGCACAGAGTTTGCCCTCAACACTTTTGCTTCACTTACTCTGATTTACTCAGGAACGGTGAAAGGACACACGGACCTCCAGCGCCGGGGGCGAGTGTGCGCCTGCGCTCTGTGCTCTCTAGAGGGCGGACAAGGGCTTTGGGCTGACCCGAGGAGAGATCTCGCGAGACTGTCAGACGTGTGGCGTGAGGCGTGGGAGGAACGTTGTGCTCTCGCGAGAACTCTTCCTTTCGGCCCTTTACTTGTTCGGGCCGGTCTCTCTCCGAGGAAGCTTCCACTCCGGTCGCCGGGCGCTGCTCTTGGAGCTGGTAAGAACCACAGTGGCCCTTCGGGCCGGCGCGACTCCTCCAGCCCTCACACTGCGGGCTGTTCCAGGGCGCCATGACCGCTTGCCCACCGGGTCTGGGCCTGCCTTTCCCGACCAGCCTTTCCCTCGACCCGTCCTGTCCGGGGGTCACCTTTTCTTGACTGTCGGCCGGCCGGAGGCTGCGCTCTCCCCGGGCCTCAACACTCTGCCCGGGGGCCACCACCTTCTTTCTGCCCGCCTTCTCTTGGCCCCGGGAGTGACAGCTGCAAGGTTTTGCTTGCTCTCGCCAGGGTCTCATGGGGGCAGAGAGACTCCCGTTTCTCCAGAATGGGCCCGGAGGCATATCCATTCCTACACTGCTGGGTGGAAACGCGAGGAAGATCATGTTTTTTTCAGCCCTCTGAGTGCCAGCACATCTCATGTAATACTCACAGCCCGAGAGGCATCTTGATCCTCTCCTTTTTACAGATGAGAAGAGCAAGTTTTGCTCATTCCTTGATTCATTCCACCAGCAATCATTTATTCATTGCCTAGGTGTTCAGGGGGTTAAGGCTATAGCAATGAAAACAAAGGGGCACAGCGCTTATTTTCGTGAAACTAAATTCCTGTGGCGGGGCAACAATGATATAAAACAGCGTTACGTGCCATGTGATACAACAAGAGATAATGCGATCAAGAATGACAGCAGTCAGAGCGCTCGAGTCTGTCAGGTCACAAAAGCAGAGCTTTTTTCACAGCAGCATTTTTCGGTATTTTCTAATCAGTGTAAGGTTCACCGTGGCGTAACTGTCTTTGGGCAGATTTAGCTTTCCACCACCTATCTGGTAATTTGGAAATGTGGTTGTAAGGTCTCTTGAATAACTTCCTGGGGTGAGGGTGAGACGGGTGATCATAGTTGGCTCATTTCTGCACTGGGGTCCTAGCATGCTATTTCTGAACTTTAAAGACTATCAGACTCTTTGAGGAAGACTTACCAGATGGTACAGTGGAAGTGGGAGGTGGTGCGTGTATCTTGTGGCTTAGGGAAGTTAACTTGGTTTGCTCTTTGGGATGTTTGCTAGCTTGTCCAGTTGTTAAGATAAAGAAATGAGATAATATATGTAAGGTCTAGCCCCGTAATATCCCTCACATTTTATTTCTCCTTTCCCCCTTTTTATGAGACTTTTGTCTTTGAGTCCCTAGGGAAAATCATAGGGGTCTAAAGTTTTACGGTATTTTGCGTTTTTAATGTTTGTTTATTTTTGAGAGACAGAGCGTGAGTGGGGGAGGGGCAGAGAGAGAGGGGGACACAGAATGCGAAGCAGGCTCCAGGCTCTGAGCTGTCAGCAC